TCTTAATATAATTTACTTTGATTTAGTCAGACTATATACTTTGTAATCAAAGGATCTAGAATTAGTGATATTAATCTTTAGAAGATTTTTATTAATCCTTATTTTATATTATTCAGTATGATCTAAACGCTGATAAGTTAGCTTATTATTAATACTTGCTATTTCTATAACCTATATTACTATCCCTCACAGTTATAGACTATATGCTTCGAGAGCAACATATCATATTGATTTTGGTTTAACAGTAAGTTCAATGAAAAGAACCTTTTTAGTAATAAATGTGTATCCAATTGGTGTATTATCCGCATGTTTTAGTATCAAATCGTCTTGGTTCTATATGATCTTATAGGATTGATTTAGTATTATTATATTAAGTAGATTAAACTAATTATCAGGTTTGTAGAAGGTATTAATATAAAGATTATATCGATCGCTATTAGATTTTTATAAAGTAATGTAAACCTAGTCTAAACCCTTTAAATAAATTGTCTGACCACTATTTGTATTTTATTTAATATTCTTTCTAGAAGTGAAGGTAATGAATAACATCTGATTGGAATAAATAATAAAGGAGGTGTCTAAATTAAGTATCTATTCTTTCTTAGATTGTAGGGGTCTTATATTATAAATAGATATAGTATTTATAACTAAATTATTGGATACTATAGCAAACCTATTAAATTTATTGAAGCTGAATATTGATGAAGTACTACTAATTCTACTAATAGTAGCAAAATTATTCTACTATTTAGTATGTTTAATAAGAAGTCTGTAATCCTAAGAATCTTTATTTATTATATAAAATCGATCTTTAGATATATTTTTGTTATTAGAGGTTAAATTTATTTTTATAAGATGAGGTTTATAGGCCTATATGTTGGAATTAGAAACCCATCTTTGTAGACGTTTGTTAGATATTAAATGATAGTATATTTTTATTAAATAATAAATTTAGAAGCAGTAAGAATATGGTCTTTTGGTAGCTAATATTTTTAGCTACTTCTTTATTTAATCTTTTTATTTAATCCTTTTAGGTAATTCATTTAAGTGTTGGTTAGGTTAATTTAAAGTAGTAGTTATAGGATTTATAATACTTTACTTACCTAGGACGAAGGCTTTCTTTGCTGTTGCTATATCTACAAAATCGATCTGCTCTTCTATAGGAATAATTTGATTGAGGATATTTGTATAGTCGATGAAGAAGTTATCTATAGTATACGTATATACTATATTGTAGTTTTTTTTGTAGAATTATAATAGTTTAGTGTTTAAAAAGCTTTTTAAATATAATTATGTTCTTAATTTATATAAAACGAATGCTATTAAATGATAAGGATTTATTTCGAGACTAATATTAGTTGCTTAAGAATTCTAGTACTATATATTCTATATAAAAGCTTTTGTATTGGAGTAGAAGATATATCTAAGATCTCGGAAGGTTATAAGTACTTTGCTTATTCGAATAAGACTGGTGTTATGTAAATCGGTACGCAGGAGTTCTATAAATTTGTTTGCAAATTTGATTACCCTTCTACATGTCTAGATGTTAGTAACGATGCTAGGGTCCACATTAGTTGCTAACTATGTTTGTATAGCCTTTGATAGAGTGTACTATCTTCGAGCTTGTAGCGTGCCAAATATAGGTTTTAGAATCTTTGACTCAATCAAGTTATGTAGATTTAGGGATTTAAGGATGTCTATAATAGAACGATGCTATTTTTTAAAGCTATTCTTATTAGAAAGCTGGATTTAAAGCTTGTAAAGAATATATGAGTTGGGTTTAAGTAAGTCGTCGTTTTAGTTTTTGATAGTGTTAACTCTAATTTACTCATTGTCAAAATCCTTTCATTCTTTAGATACTGCATACCCAGCAGCAACAGCAAGCACATTGCTGAGGAGTGCTGTAGAGGCTATCGCGGCAGGTTGGAGTAGAAGTCTAATCAAAAGTGAAGTAAATCAAGTGAAAGTAAGAACAAGATGAGGTAGGTTAACCGAAGTCAACCACCTCCTTCACCTGAGTAAGAAGTAGATTCTATCACAAAAGAAACGTATAGAAATGCGAGAATTCTGTCAGAGGGATTTTATAACCTGTTGAAAGAGCATAGGGATCGAAAGAACCGATTTATTGATCTCTAGGGAGAGAGAAAGAAGAAAGGAGAGAAGGACTATGGAAGTAGGATCTTATCTACAATCAGGGGTTGTAGCAAACATCCCTCACAACAGATACCCCCCCCCAAGATCCATACCCGGTACACCCGCGAGATATTGATTCGAAAGCCTCTAACGACCCCTCCTCAACAGTTTACTACAACATTGGACTCCCACTGGGTCAATATCCAGCTGGCAAGCCAATGGATGGACCGGTGTCTCGCCGAGCATGGCACTGACTGCCAAAATCTTGGTGTTGGTGAAGCAGTCTGTCCCGATTGGGTAATCGATATGGAGCAGCAAATGCTAGTTCGGAGTCAACATGGCATCAGCTTTGTGGCACTAAGCTATCGATGGGGGAACTTAACCCTCGCCAACACATCACAGCAGGGTGACTGGGAGCGGCTGAGAAAGCCCGGGGGCCTTTCCCAATCCCCCTTATGGCAGGTTCCGACAATTAGGGACACGGTTCACGTTGTAAATAAAGCGGGAGAGCGGTATCTTTGGATCGACAGCCTGTGTATGAACTATGGGGATGAAGCTCACGTTACTCATCAAATTCAAAACATGGGCAGAATATACGCCGCCGCCAAATTGGTGATAGTTGCGACTGATGGGGACGCCATGGAAGGGCTTCGGGGCCTTCAAGGCTGCTCTGAGTGTCGGGACCTCAACACGTTTTTCACGCTGCGGGATGGCCGGGAAGTAGTCATACGAGATCTCCCAGATCTTTCATCCCGATCAAACCTGGATGGCTCTGAGTATTTCGGTCGCGGCTGGACTTTCCAGGAATATTTTCTCGCTCGGCGTCGTCTGATTTTTGGTAAAAAACAAATCCACTGGAGCTGCGGCCGTGCCACTTGGCATGAAGACCTACCAGATGTGAATGAATTTTCCGACAAAAAGGAAATGACCCTCAGTCGAGTGCCAAACATTCGCAAAGGCATTGTCGACTTCCAAGAGCTGACCAGTGTCATCTGTGAATACAATGACCGAAACTTGACCTATCCGGAAGACGCCTTGCCTGGCATCATGGGACTACTCCAAGCCCTAAGTCTACCCTTCCCAGGCGGCTTTATATTCGGCATCCCAAGATTGTATTTTGAGTCCGAGTTGCTATGGTCTTGCTACTTTCCGTACCTTCGCGCATTTGGAATGAAAGAATACTCTGTCCAGAAGCGAGAGCGTTCTGCTCGGTCGCAGTGTTCTCTCCCTTACTCCCAACTACCCTCTTGGTCGTGGGTTACATGGAAAGGGAGCTCAGTCCACTTAGGCTATCGTCATGAGAGCTTTACCATCGTCGGATCTAAGTCTGGGAACTACCATGGACTCAGGGGCAACTGGGTGACCATCCCTTTCACTGAGTGGTACAGCCATGACACCCCACAATCAGACAAAAAGCGTGCTATCAAATCAAAGTGGATGACTTTCACTTGGGATGAGCCTCAAGCAGATCCTCTGCCCACTGGTTGGCTAGCAGAAAAGTTCGACCATGCTACGCATGTCGGCCTCGGTCTTCATTTAGCCATTCCCTGGGGCGTGTCCGGGAGGGTTGTCTACCGACACTCCAAGTTTCCTGGAATCTATTACTGGCGTCCTTTTCCAGTAAATGATTGTGCAGAGTCGCCGTCAACTTCTGCTGCAGAGCAAGACCCGTTCATTTCGTGTAGCACTAAGAAGGGTGTCTTTTGTGCTCGACCCCCCCTAGGCCGAATCTCAGGAGATTACAACTCGGCCATTCGCTTTTACTTCCACAGGGTATTATTGGACTCTTCTGACCGTATATGTGGCTGGCTCCAGCTCCCAAACGATGATGCAGGGCACGTGCCCCCATGGCCTCCAAGCGGACACATATGGTGGAGGAATGATGATTGGCCATCGCCGGACATAACCCAGATTCCGAAAATCTACATTGAGCTTGTAGCCATCTGTCGGCGTATGTTTCCAGTCCAGTACACAAATTTGAAGAAAACCGGCGGTTTCATTCAATATGATGAGTACTATGGGGTACTTTATGTGGAATGGAAGGAAGGGGTGGCTTATCGGAGGGGAGTTGGATATGTCACGAAGGATGGTTGGGAGCAGCATGATCTCGAGGATGTAGATTTGATCCTTGGAGGAACCTTTTGAACTTGGGGATAAGAAACCCTCTTCGAGAGCACGTTCTGAAACTGGAAAACCACATTCAGAACCTTGGAAGAAATATCAGTTTGGTGGGATTCATTGTATTTGTTGAGCCTACAGGGCGAGAGTGAAGAAGAAGCGGACAGAACCGATCGTATTGACTGCCGGGAGAGAGAGAGGAAGAAGAAGAGGGAGACTTGGGAGAAAAGGTCTATCTACAAACTGAAACGGGGGTTAGGATGAACTTCCCACACAACAGTATCTCGACGTTGATGCCTATGTGGTATAGAGAAGATGAAGTATAGCGGCCCCGGGGGTGATGGTAGCGCGGGGTAGTTGATAAGCATCGATAAACGCCATGCTCACCGCCCGACGAGTCCGACTATTACTGCCACAAAAAAAAAAAGCCGAATGCAGTATGCAAGCATCCTCTACAATGGCTTGCAAGAGCAGAATCGTAATGGAAATCCAAGTGGCACACTAGGAAGAACAAATCAAAAAGAATCCGAAACAGTTGATTGATGAAAATTATAATTTTAGTGATATGCATTCGCAATAGCCTCCCCTTTCTGCTCATGAGTCACCAGTAAACTGTGCAAAAGGCGGTGCCCAACACGGCAAGCGGTAGGACTGTACCCCACGGCTTTTTTTTTCACGCCGATACCTTCGACATTTTTGGACATTGCAAATACCCTCAGTCCTCTCGATAAGACTGAATTACCGTCACAATGGCTCCCCACGCTGATTCCGATGCGCCTCACAACAGCTTCGACGTACGTACTATCACTATCCCATGAACGCCGAGATTGGCGAACCTCGTTCTCGCTCTGCTCCCCGCAGGCAATCGATGACTCCTAGATCGGGGCACAGGCGCAATTTCTCTACAGCCCAAATATGAATACCCTGACTGACGTTTGACTTGATAGACTATCCTCGTCCTCGACTTCGGTGTACGTGAAAATGGCCATCTCCCTCCAACCTCCCCGCTTATCGCAGATAACGAAGCGTCATGGCTGCATGGCTTCTGAGAACTCTCCCAACAACACGAATACTGACTCACATTCAAGTCCCAAACGAGTCACCTGATCCTGCGTCGTCTCCGATCTCTGGGTGTCTTCGCCGAGCTCCTTCCTTGCACCACCAAGATCGCTGATCTGACATGGAAGCCTAAGGGAATTGTTTTCTCTGGAGGTAATGAGTTCCGCATAGTATGGTTTCAGCTTTGGTCTGACTGAGTGACTAGGTCCTGCCTCAGTCTACGATGAGGCCTCGCCCCGTAAGGCTTTCCGGTCCGAAGGTTGCATTCCCAAAACTCACGTGTATAGATGTTGACCCCGCCGTCTTTGACTTGAACGTTCCCATTCTGTGAGTGCCTCCTGTAACTTCTTTTTGTGCTGTTGAATTCAGACTAACGCGCGATTGCAGGGGCATCTGGTATGACTTCCTCGAACATCAACCCATGGATGCCGCTAAGACAATCCACACAGCTATGGTTGCCAGGAGATCGCGTGGCGGGTAAACCCCAACAACGTTGCCCGTGGCGAGACCCGAGGTATGAAATTCACAGTGTACCGTGGTAAATCACATCTGACAACTCACAGAGTACGGCCACGCCGACGTCAAGATCACCAAGGTTAACAGCAACGTCGACCGCCTGTTCGCCGGCCTGGGCGAGGAGGTTCCCGTCTTCATGTCCCACTACGACAAGCTCGTTACTCTGCCCGAGGTGAGCGAACGATCTCCAGTATCTGCAGAGCGACCTTTTAACTCCAGTAGGGTTTCGTCGTTGTTGGTGCCACCGATCACTCCGAGTACGCTGGTATCGCCCACCAGGAGAAGCCCATCTTCGGTTCGTTGCCCCCATATTACCATCGAGATCGAATATGAGACGATACTGACAAACTGCTATTAGGTGTCCAGTTCCACCCCGAGCTCGAACACGTTAGTCAATCCCTAGCTCTTACGATAAACCCCTCCTAACATTCGAATCCAGACCCCCTGCGGAACCGACATCCTCCGCAACTTCAGCATTGACATCTGTGGCGCTCAAGCCAACTGGGTTATGGGCGACTTTGTCCAGCTCGAGATTGCTCGTATCCGTGAGCTCGTCGGTGACCGCGCCCTGGTTCTTGGTGCCGTCAGTGGAGGTGTCGACAGCACTGTCGCCGCTGCTCTTATGACTGCCGCCATTGGAGACCGTTTCAAGGTATGATTCTCGAGTCCTTTTCACAAGCCTGCACTTGCACTCCAAGCAACTTGCGATTGTCTATTTGCATGTTTCTGTGGAACAGACTGCTCGAACATGAAAGACGATTGCTAACATACCACAGGCCATTCTTATCGACACTGGTTGCATGCGTCTGAACGAGTGTGAAGAGGTTAAGCAGACTCTCGGAAAGCACCTTAACATCAACCTTACAGTTGTCGATGCTGGCGAGCTGTTCATGAGCCGTCTGGCCGGTGTTTCCGACCCCGAGAAGAAGCGCAAGATCATTGGATCCTCTTGTGAGTATATCCCGGGGATGACGTAATGACGATTGGTATTGACGATTTTGAAGTCATTGATCTGTTCGAGGAGGAGGCCATCAAGGTACGTTTACACTGCTCTAGTTTGATTGCTTGTTTAGGATGCTAACACCATGCCAGATCGAGAAGGCTGCTGAGAACACCCCCAACACCGGAAAGGTGGAGTGGTTCTTGCAGGGAACCCTGTACCCTGATGTGTAAGTCATCCTGCATCAATCCCCGGATCAAGGCTAACAGCTTTCTAGCATTGAGTCTTTGAGCTGGCGCGGACCTTCCGCCACTATCAAGAGTAAGCGAACTCGCAATCCCACAGGAGCAGTGAATTTCAACAGCGGGCATCGAAAACTAACATGAGATATAGCTCACCACAACGTTGGCGGTCTTCCTGAGGTAAGCAACACCATCATCACTCAACCAAGTATTTTTTACTAACAATCAAATAGCGCATGATGAACGGCGTAAGTCAAACGACTCAACATATTATTAACCCGTCCATCTTTACTAACCTACATGGCGCGTTTAGCAAGGCTTGCGTGTAAGTTGACCCTACAAGCGTTGAAGATTTTGCAAAATACTAACATGAGGAATTCACAGCTTATTGAGCCCCTTAGACTTCTCTTCAAGGATGAAGTGAGAGCGATCGGTCGCCAGCTTGGCATCCACGAGGACCTCGTGAACCGCCACCCCTTCCCCGGTCCCGGCATTGCCATTCGCATTCTTGGCGATGTTACCCAGGAGCGTGTCGAGATCGCCCGCAAGGCTGACCACATCTTCATCAGCATGATCAAGGAGGCCGGTCTTTACAACCAGGTAAGTCGCGCCACATGATTCAAATTGTCACACACTAACATTCTCGTCCAGATTTCTCAAGCCTTTGCTGGTCTTGATACTAACCGCAGTGTTGGTGTTTTCGGTGACCAGCGCGTCTGGGGTTACATCGTCATTCTCCGTGCTGTTCAGACTAAGGACTTCATGAGCGCTGATATCTTCGACTTCGACAACGCATTCCTTAAGGTGAGTTTTCTCTCTATATTACTCGCCACATCCCAGGGACCCACCCGGAAGAGGCCTAGCCGTCTATCCACGAATACTAACATGTTTGTACCAGAACGTTTCACGCACCATCTGCAACCAGGTTGACGGTGTCTCCCGCGTTGTCTACGACCTGTAAGTCAAATCTCCGCTCTAATCCTAGCTCCAAGCTAACATCCCTTTTCTAGTACCTCCAAGCCCCCCGGCACCATTGAGCTGGAGTAAATGGCATAATTGAGGAATTTAAAACAGAATATAGATAGACGAAAGATCGCTTGCAGGCATCTCCATGCAAAGCTGATAGGAAATGACATTGATGGCGTTTGGAGACATTACTACATGACATCTTGGGTGAAACGAGGAAGGAAGGTGTGTAACACGAATTCTTGCATTCGAAGGCGATGGCGATGCGTCGAGAGAATGCAGAGGTCTGTTACTGCGAGAACCCTATACCCAAGCATACAGGGAACCGTACAGGTCAGCCAAAAGACCTAATATTTATGTATAGTAGCGCACGGTTGGGGCCGCCACACCGGGGCGCGCCCTAACAAAAAATGGGGTCTACATCGCAATCTTTCCATGAATGAACTCCGGCGTACAATTCATGATGCGTGGGAAGAGCTACCGGAGGCGGATTTGGAAAGTCTATGGGATAGTATGCCTGACGTGTACAGCAGGTGTTGGAGCGAGAGGTGCTACGGACTATTGAATTCTCCGGTCAAATTGTATAGCTAGTTACACCATATATATTCTAAGGTTAAGTACTATCATTCCGGCAGAATTGATGGTGGATCGGACCCCTAATTCCCATATTTCCATCACTGCCCTGTATACTTGATTCGTCGCTATCTCGGCGAGTCACCGTCTTTGGTTCGGAGTTTCCGAGAGTCCGAGAAAGACCCGCAACTCCCCGGACTCATGGAGTATAAGGATTGATGAAGCAAAGAAGGACAGAGTATCTACAGGTGCTTCGAGGAAAAAGGAACACCAGAAAAGCCTCTTTAGTTGACTGTTTACCCGACAAGTCGGAAAATCGAGAGGTTGTTTTGCAAAGAAAATGTCTTTGTCCGGGTTTTTATGGTCGGTGATTTCCATTCTCATACCATTTCTCGTCTATAAACGATACTCGGATCAACTTTCGAAGTTTGAAGGCCCTTTCTGGGCACGATACTCCTCACGTTGGTTGGAGAGGGTCTCTAAAGAGGGCAACCCTGAAGCCGTTTTCGATGCTCTCCACAACAGCCTAGGTAATGCTGTATCTTCCGTGCATTCGAGATCTATTTGATGACCCATGAGCATAAACAGGAACCAAGGTTATACGAATTGCGCCCAATGAGCTCCACATATCCGATGTCGAGTTGTACAAAACGATATACGGCCAAAAATCACCCTTCATGAAGTCGTCCAAGTTCTACAATACATTCCTGGCATTCGGTACAACATTTGGAGAGATGGATCCTCACAAAAACAGGGAGCGAAGAAAATTACTCAATCCCTTCTTCTCCAAAGCCGGAACGCTGAAGCTGGAACCTGTCATTCTCCATCGACTTTCACTCGTCCTCGAGAAGATGGAACGTCTAGCCGCCGAGGGACCGATCAATGTACAAGATGTTTTAAGATGCTATACGGGTGACATTGTCTCCCAAATCAGTTTTGGAAAATCGCTTGAGCTCACTAATGAAAACCCCTCGTCTTTCAAGTCGAGTTACTTTGCGGGATTTGACGCCGCCCTCAAAGCTCCTACGAAATTGTTTTTCGGTCCTCTGCTACGACTTGCGTACTCGGTTTTGCCTTTTGGGGTTCTTACTTATATTGATTATTCGCTGTCGAAGTATTCGGAGATCATCAAGGTTGGCTTTCTTTGGTCCTCTCGGTTTGAGTAGTATTACACTAAAATCTCTCAGTTCAGCGGGCTGTGCTTTCTGGAATACAAGGAGGGAAAGCATACGGCGGGGCACCCCATTCTGTTTGACAATCTATCCTGCATTCCAGAAAGTGAGAGAACGACCGAAGCCATGAGTATTCTGATTGCTGGGTCCGAGACAACTGCATTCACTCTGGCTCAAACTATTTTCCTGATACTTTCTTCGCCGAGGGTGAAACAAAGATTAGTTCGGCAACTAGATGCGGGGGTCCCTGAGTCTAGTCATATGCCCTCTATTCAAGATTTGGAAAAGCTGGACTATCTAGTAAGTGGAGACTAAATCTTCACCATTGAATCCACCTGATGGATGCTTCAGATGGCATGTGTGAAGGAAGGTCTCAGGCATGCGATGAGTGTTCCAGGAAGATTGCCGCGGGTTGTACCCAACGGGGTTGAACTGGTTGTGGAAGGGAAAAGGATTCCTCCTGGAGTGAGTTTCTGAACCCCAAACCAACGGCCCGGCTCTAACATACTTGAAGACCATCGTTGGTATGTCGGCATATACCCATGCACAGAAGCAAGGAGATCTGGGGCCCCGGTGTTTTGGAATTCGTTCCAGAGCGTTGGCTCAAGGGAAACTCCAAAAGTCTTGAACATTATCTGGTCTCCTTTTCCAAGGGAGCCCGTCAGTGTACTGGAATAAAGTAAGATCTCTTTCAATGAGTGTCTTCACATGGGGTGTCGCTAATCGTATTGTCGCCTTAGCTTGGCCTACGCTGAGATTTTTGCTGCTCTGGCACATACGTTCCGCAAATTCGAACTTACGTTGAAAACACAGACTGTTCTCACAATCGACCGATTCGTGCAAATGATCATGGGCGAGGGAATCTGTGTTGATTTGGAGAGACGGAAAGATTGAGCGGAAAATCTGAGATACTACAGCACTCTATCATTGAAGATGGGACTGTACATGATGATTTCTTTCTTTGTTGCAGAAGATCCCAGGGGTTGAAACCCGCTCAGATACCTTTGGACTTTGCTTGGCCTTCGGCGGGGGAACTCAAATAGGTTCAATTATTCTATACCGAGTGGTTCGGAATGTTCTTTGCATGAATAGCACTACTCAAAAAGACATGCATTATGCACAGATGCAGTATTCAGATGCATGAAATCGATCTCGCAACGTGATCTTAGGGCTTCGAAGACTTATCTGTCCATTTGTGACAGCATCATACCAATATTTACCATACATCCGCACTCACCCGCATCTGGCGTCCCCATTTGGACCAGACATCTGGTAATTACCCGTATTTCGCTCGGAACCAGCCGAACACCGAGATGTCTAGACCTCTTCTCCTGACCTTAACATCGCCAGATTGCAATGATGATCGTCTTCCGATTCAGCAAGTATAACCTTCACAATCTTCAAACGTCTGAATGTCGTATCGGACGCCCTGCTATGACTTCCTCTTCAGGATGTTGTAATTTCGCATCGAAAGTATATGAACCACCGATATCTGCAGGTTGAATTGATTCGAGTGAGCACTATTCTTCCATTGTTGCCATGTTTTCCACTCTGACCAAATCTTCGATAAGTCTACCCGCCTTATGGCTGGTCTTTGCGGCACTCAATGCCTGTGCCATGGCCGCAACTTACCCGTACACTGTTTATCGTGGTACATTCGTCCATCTTCCGAAGCTCAACTCGAGCTCCACCAAACCTGAATTGGCTCGCAACCAGGGTGCTCTTTGGGTCGGCGAAGATGGTCGCATCAAGGGCTATGACTGGAGTGTGCACGATGATGCTACCTTCAAATCATTCCTTTCCAGTCATGGCTGGGCGGATGCCGATGCAGGCAGTGGAAACACAAAGGCCACCAAAGTCAAGGTCGTGAAATCTAACGATGCCCGAAACGAGTTCTTCTTCCCCGGTTTCATTGGTATGCATTCAATTCCTTCACTTGAGTATATCCAAACTAATTCATGCAGACACCCACATCCACGCCCCTCAATTTCCCAACATCGGACTTTTCGGATCTTCCGGTCTGCTAGACTGGCTGAACGAATATACCTTCCCAATGGAAGCTAGCTTCCGCGCCAAATCCGATCCCAAGAACCAGCAAACCGATCCAAAGAAGACACCCCCAGAAGGCCTACGCGTCTACGACCAAGTCGTAGCCCGCACTCTTGCCCACGGCACAACATGCGCATCGTACTTCGCAACCATCCACGTCCCAGCAACCAATGCCCTCGCAGCCCTCTGCCACTCACATGGGCAGCGCGCATTCATCGGCCGCGTCTGCATGGATAACAAAGACCAATGCCCATCCTATTACGTGGACCAGTCCGCCGAACAAGGCTTCAACGCGACAAAGTCGACAATCGAGTACATCCACACCCTGGACCCAAAAGGCGCATTGATCAACCCAATCATCACCCCCAGGTTCGCACCCAGCTGCTCAAAGGAATCTCTCGCTGGCCTAGGCAAGCTCGCAGCCTCCTATTCACCACCCCTGCACATCCAAACGCATATCTCCGAGTCAACCGCCGAAGTGGACCTCGTCCAAAAACTCTTCCCAGACTCAACCAGCTACGCAGACGTCTACGACAAAGCCAACCTCCTGACAAACCGCACAATCCTCGCCCACGGCGTCCACCTAACCAAAGAAGAACTGAACCTGATCCGCACCCGCGGCTCAAAAGTCTCACACTGCCCAGCCTCAAACTCAGCGCTGGGCTCTGGTCTTGCCCCCGTGCGCTTCATGCTCGATCAAGGCGTCACAGTCGGACTAGGCACTGACGTCAGTGGGGGATATAGTCCCAGTATTCTGGAAGCAGCACGACAAGCCAGTCTGATTTCCAGACTTGTGCAATATAGTTCCGAGTATCAAGAGAAGACGGGGAACAAGACTTCTGACGGGAGTGAGAAGTTGACTGTTGATGAGGCTTTGTATCTTGCTACGCGTGGTGGAGCGGCTGTTGTTGATATGGCTGATGACCTTGGTGGTTTTGATAAGGGGATGATTTGGGATGCGCAGCTTATTGAGCTGGGTGCTGTTAAGAATAGCACGACCAGTCCGTTGGACTCGAAGAGTCTTGTCGCGCGCGCTGTTGCCACTGGGACTGTTGGGGATGTTGATCTGTTTGGTGATGAGACTTGGCAGGAGCAGATTCAGAAGTGGATGTGGAGTGGCGATGATCGCAATGTGAAGAATGTTTGGGTTCAGGGGAAGCTGGTACACACCAGGAAGTAGGTGGTTTAGGTCGGACATTGACTACCCTATGTGTTGGAGGATTAGTATATGGGTTCAGGGGTATATTTCGTTCGTTAGGTATATCCAATTTTGCCATGTTTGACATTCTCCCATGCCGGTCGTGTGGAATCACCACGAAGGCGAAATATACAGTCAAGTACCTTGTTATTTACCCACTTACTTGCCCTGTATGTGGATGAGATGGAAATGGCAAAGCACTAGAGTCATTGGTCAAAATGTTCAATTGAAGGGGATGTACTCCGTAGCAAACTGCCAAACCCAATGTGGCTCTTCAACAAGCAAAATCGGATAGAAACACCAAGAGTATACATGAGACGATCGTAAATCATAGCAAGCAGGTCAAAAGTCGTTGAGAAAAAAAAGGTGAAGTAGAGGAAGGTATGGCCAGAGAACAAAAACAACAGCAAGGTCTATGAACTCTGCTGTCGCCTCCATGGAATATCTTTGCGAAGCAACTCTCGGAGTTCGGGAGATATCACTTTCGGCTTGTCGGCATTTACTGCATTTTGAAGTGATGATGAACCACTGACTCCACTGCTTGTTCCAGTGGCGGGCTGCTGGGGCGACTTGCCCTTGTTTGAGGGATCTTGACTTGTGCCTGGTCGACGCTGATGCGCAGTTGGCGCAGCTGGAAAATTGTCTTTTTTGTCAATAGCCTGAACCGAGCGTTCAAATCTCTTGAAGAGCGATTCAGCGCGAGTGAGAATCGGAACGAGATCCATTGTGTTGGATAGTTCGTTGACTGAGACTGGTTAACACCTAGGAGTGAATTTTTTGAGGGAGGGATAACATACTGTACTTGAGCACTTCATCGAAATGCTTAAGATGGTCCATGATCACATCTCGGTGCTTTTCGAGAATGGCCAGTGCAATGAACAGGTGGAAACTGCTCGAGTAATAGTCGGTCCACAGAGTCTCCCACAGGCGCAAGACATCGCTCCAGTCAAACTCGCGTTTGTACCAAACCAATAACATGCGGAAGAAAAAGAAGAAATTGGTGCTGTCCGCGGACTGAAGATGGAGGTACAACTGTGGGTCCATGAGCTGGACAAGGTTGTCCAATGCCAGCAGCTGGCCACGCATGCCAGACTGATCGCGGAGGAAGTTTTGTTCCTGTATTAACGTTTAGCACACGAAAAGGGCTGGGAAGGCGCTGTAGCGTACCATTCGCTCCATGAATCCGACAAATGCCCAGAAGGCAACTGCGTCATCTTGCATGACAGCGTAGATTGGTGCAAGAAGATCACTCATTCCCTGGACGTAGCCGAGGTCTGGGTTCAATTCGTTGTATGTTAGGAGCATGTCTTTCATCTGCTCCAAGTGCACATTGGTTCCGGTCTCTGCGAAGGGGGAATCAGGGTCTGGATGAGGGATGTCCTCGCCCGCGAATAACGGAATTGTGCGATCAGTGCGGTGAACATCCTTCTCTGTGGTCTCTGTTAGTAATGAGAATAACCCAGGTTCGCGATAGCCATACCGATCCGATTCTTCTGCTCTTTCCAGTGGTCAAACTGCTCGGTGGTCGAGTTACCCTCCACCATTCTCTCCCACCATCCCGCTTTGAGCCGAATGTACTCATCGCGCTTGGAGTTCATTAATGCTTGGCGGTCTTCCTGGCTACTATCCCATGGATATACCTCCAGGAGGAAGAGCCAGGCCTCCTTTCTGACGCCATCATTAGGATCTAAACCTCCGTGGAAGATCCGCTCCTTGACTTCCTCGACGGTCACCTGGAGCCTTCCCGATGCTGGATCAAAGAAGCCTTCCCATTCAGGCAGCTGAAGGATACGGCGTCGCTCCTGAAGACCCAGATTTCCAGTCTCCAATTCCAGAATCTCGAAATCGCCAACAGAGCTGTTCTCCATCTCCAGCATATCCTGGGCTGTCCAGATACGTGCATTGCGCTCTTTGTCGCTTTGCTCTGCGACGCTCATCGCCCAGCGAGCCAAGTAGACGCGGGCGCTGTCGAACTCATCTTGCAGGGTTTGAATTTCGGGGTTTTTCATCAGGCGGCGCATCTGGGGTGGGATTCGAGGGTTGTCGGCAATGTCGTTTGCCGTCCGGCGGGTGAAGGTGGTGATTTTGCTGAGCTGCTCCAGCACTTTCCACCGAGTTTCCTTGAGGGTCTTCATGAAGGGGTCCATGCTGGCATCCGGTGTCCCTGGCTGCACTGAAGCGGCTGCGGCTTCTGGCTGGGCCTTGGCTGAGATCGACGCATCACCATGGCTTATTGGCCGACCGAAAGACAGCTGGTCTTCCTGCGACGGGTTGATGAGATAGACGTTACGATCCACCGCCGATCGCTGTACCTCCGCATATCTCCGCAACCATCGCAGAATTTCATCACCGCCCCAGAATAAACTCCCCTCGTTGCTGAATGGGTTGAAACTCTCCTTCACTCTCCTTTTCTTTTGCAGAATTGTTGATTCGCACTCGTCATCGTGGAAGAAGAGTGCGGGGAAGCCATCACCCGCCCGCGTATTGATGACCAAACTCCCAAACCACCATCCCAAACTCGGCGGCCTCACTAGGAGAGAGTATATCTCTGAAAGTGGCACTGCGAATGAGTATAGCCCGATGGGATCTTTGTATGTGGTGGTCGTCGGAAGAGGCGGAACCAGGTATTTCTGGCGGGGCGGGGAGTCGTCTTCGGCCAGGTCAACTTTGACATATGTATCATATGCATCTCCAAGTGATGACTCTGGAACCCATGCGAGTAAGTATGAGGGTGTGTCGGGTTTGTTCGGGTGGGATGAGGATGCATGTGACGGGGTAGGTTTCTGTTGAATCAAGGCGATGAATCCGGGGATGTTGTCTTTGGACGACGAGGTTGGGTGCACATAGACCTGGGTTGTCAGCTTGAGACATTTCGCGACAGCTGACACAAGCCTACCTTGCTTTTTGAGAAGAGTAGTTTGACCCCTCTCTTCGAGGCGACCTGTGCGATGGTGTTATATTCGTCCTCATCGTCATCACTCATGGCGTAACAGGAAGCAGGAGGCGATGGTGTCGCTGGAGGAGTGTATTTGACTGATCCCATGGTGAAGTGAAGAAGCGAAGAGGTGAAGTCCAAATGTCGCGTCGACGTAATGATGGCCGATAAGATAAGGATATCAGGTGTTCTGCTCTGCTCTTCTTCTCTTCCAGTTTCTCTTCTCTTTTTCTTCAAATGTTGTCTGTATTTTCTTTTGATTTGCTTAAATTTCTTCTTTTCTTTTGTGTCAGTTGAATGTGATTTTTCCTTGACGATGGTGATTTACCTTCGTTTGCTGTCGCCACCCACCAGGCAACCGGATTCGCTAGCAAGGCGAAGTACAGAGATAGTATTATTCATTGCTTTCAAAGGGTCCATTTATTGTTGATGGACTGTTCTGGTTGGCATTTCAGAGTCTTGGGTCAATTTCACAAGAGTCAACTTTGGAAACATATCTGAGCCAAGGCTGCATCTATAGATCGCTACGCGCAGATGCTCAAAAACCACGCAACAACAAACTTTCGAGTATGCAAGATTCTAAAATCTAGAAACACAGCAAACTAGGACTTTCTGTCCCGTCGAAACATCTGGTCCCAAATCTTGAAGTCGGGCATCACAAAGTTGACGGCTTCCCTTCGACGTCACAACCATGTTCTTGGCAAAAGAGCTTCACACCCATGTTGACAACACTCGAAGTAACCTGAAGGTCCACCTGCATGTACTTGGACCCTGTCAATGGCCAGACCAGCTTAGGCCTATCAGTCAGCTGTGCCAGACCGAATCAGCTGCGATAGCAACATCGGGACTCAATAACCCGTTTGGGGAACGATATACCGCCGTCTCATAGCTACCACACGGTTTGACAACAACTTTAGTAGGGTTGATAGGCATACAATTTGACTCTACAGAGTGTATACATGGGCAAAATGCGACATTTCTCCATGGCCCGAGATATAAAATACGCACATCTCGTTGATATAACACCCACGCCGTGTTCCACTTAGAAGGTCCACAATACCCAAGGCAAAAACTACAACCAATCAAAAGATTTGACACAACTTTAGAATGTCTGAGCTCCCTCGTACTCTGCCAGCGTCCTGGTACTGCAGTGAACCACTCTACCAGATGGAACGTCGGGCGGTCTTCTTCAAAGTATGAGCACTAAGTCGTTCATGGTCTGTCCGTGCAAAAAGACTAAGAATTCACAGTCCTGGTACTTGCTCGGCCCCGTGACCCGATTCCAGATCGTGAATGAACATGTCCCATACGAAGTTGCGCAGCAGCCAGTATCTGCTTTTCGCACAAAGGGTGAATCGTTGAACCCCACTGCCGAGGAACTCAAGGTCGTTTGCTCCAAGACAGTATGTATGACCAAAGTACGAGTACATGTGCTTTCGAGATCACTGACATTGGGCAGGGCAGAGAACTCCGCAGCCATCTCACCCCAACAGGATTATTGTTCTCCACAATCTCCGATGATGCGCCCAGCTTCGATGAATTCTTCCCAGAGCTCGAGGAACTGCTGGGAAAAGTTGACTTCTCCAAGCTTCCCTATCGACGCAGCATCCGGTATGAAGGTCGATTCAACTGGAAAACCATGTACGCACGTCCACCCTCCAGCTTCATCTCCCATACTTAATGAATTGCCAGGGTTGACGGATACCAAGAGTGTTTGCACTGCCAGTACACTCATCCCTCATTCTCGGTGTACTATCCTCCCACCTTCTATACAGTGCGCAACAAGCACAACTTTTCACAGCACATCGCTGATCCCAAGAAGCCGGATGATGGCCTCTTCCTCTACTTCTTCCCCAACTGTACCTTGAATGTGTACGGTGGGGGAATGTCTATGTTCAGGGTGTGTCCGACAGCCGACCCACATGTGACTCGCATGGAATTTGACTACTATCATCTCGAAACTGGCGACAAGTTTGAGGATTATTACAAATTCGTCCGCCAGGTCGCTATGGAAGACTATGAGCTCTGCGAGAAGGCTCAGGATAACCTTGCCAAGGGTGTTTATCACGAAGGAATACTCAACCCGGAGAAGGAAAATGGGGTATCTTGTAAGTGGACACCGTGCAGCAACGACGGAAAATTGATCACTGACATGAAGCGAATTCAGACTACCAGCAACGGGTGTTCGATATGGTATGCGAGCAGCATGATTCCGATAGGATGGCCAAGTTGAGCGTTGAACCTGAGAAAGGGGAGCAGATCACGCCAACAATGGTTGAGATGACAGCGTAGTGATTTTTCAATACGCGGCGGAGAGCTTGAATGACCAAGAAAGCTCAAAGGCATTAGTTATCGGCTCTTGAACAACGGTTTTTGATGTTTTTTGGGGCGTATCGTTTGGAAGATGCCTCTGAGAATGTTAACAGCGCTTGGCCCGGGGTGTATTGTATTTATCGACGGGTTTTTAAACCATAGCTTCGCCATAAGAAACGAGTGCATTGAAGAATTCAGCATGATAAGACTGGAGAATTCTCATCAGGTAGTCCGTCCAATCACTCTGCATATTCGAGAACACGTCACAAACTACAGTGAATTGCAAAATCAGCTTCACCAGTTTACACTCTTTCCTTTATTTCGGGCCCCACCGCCGAGGTGCCAGTTTGGAATATGGGGTTACACTTGAGCAGTGGTGTAACATTGTTATTCGACTGTACATAGTTCAATTGACGCTTGATCTTACAATACCTGTACATATATATTACCTCTATCGCGGGCCGAACCACGTGGTCTAACCTTACAAAGGCGGGGCGCCGACCTGTCTCGTTTTGGAATTCCAAGGTTGACTTGGTGCATCACCCAGTTACTGTGTGGATTATATATTCTCCGAATGCCGATAAGGTCAGCTGGTGGTGGGGCTGACACCTGTAGACGCTGTCCCTGATAACATCAATTGCCCTTATTCCTATTCATGGAGGTCAAACCCTTACTATCATGACACACACAATCGCATTTGGTGACAGGAACTCTGGAGCTCAGTTAGGAATCAACTACGGTTCTGTCACGAACCAATTTCATGCATGTTTAGGTAAGTGATAAGTGATTCCCTCAATGTTGACCCACGCTGATCGTAATAGATCTCGACGAGGAATTGCCCGCCGTAGATACGGCTGCGTTCGACTCATACGACAATCAACACGAAGAAAGATGTCTTCCAGGCACGCGGACCGATATCCTCTGTCAAATCAAGGAATGGGCCTCCTTGCCGCAAGGCAGATGCATTTTCTGGTTAAATGGGATGGCTGGGACCGGGAAATCAACCATCTCTCGAACAGTGGCGGAAACCTTTAGCGAAGCAAAGTCCTTAGGAGGCAGTTTCTTTTTTAAAAGAGGCGAAGCTGATCGAGGCAATGCTAAGAGGCTGTTTCCGACGATCGCAAGGCAACTTACAACTAGCATTCCTCAACTGCTCCCTTATGTTAAACAAGCAGTCCATGATAACTCAGGTATCATAGGAAAGGGACTCAAAGAGCAGTTTGATAAGCTGCTTCTCCTACCACTCCTGAGACTTTGGCAATCCGATCTCCCAGCACACACTGTTGTGATAGTGATCGATGCATTGGATGAATGTGAAGGGGACAATGATATCCGACTCATACTCCAGCTTCTGCCACAACTACAGAAGCTAGGTACTTGTCATATACGAGTATTATTGACCAGCAGGCCTGAATTGCCAGTTCGTCTAGGCTTTTCAAAGATCGCAATTCAAGACCACAAGGATCTCATTCTGCATGAGATCCCAGAGGAGGTGATTAAGCATGATATATCACTATTCCTACATTGGCGACTGTCAGAAATAAGGAATGACTCTTTTCTTCCTGATGACTGGCCCGGCGAGAAAAAATTGCAGGAACTAGTCTCACTGTCTATTCCACTATTCATCTTCGCCGCCACTATCTGTCGCATGTTTGAGGACCCTAATTGGGACCCAGTAGACAGTCTAACTGAGATCCTTGGCTACCGACATGATAAATCTCAGATGGATAGGACATATCTTCCTGTATTGGATCGGTTACTTATTGGACAGACAGAGAAGCAGAAAAAGCAGCTTGTCGAAGAGTTTCAGCAAGTGATCGGATCAATTGTGATATTAGAGGAACCTCTATCTGTCATCTCAATATCGAAGCTTTTGAACCTACCGGAACGATTGATTCAGCTGAGGCTGAAGCCGCTTCATTCGGTGCTGAAGATACCAACTGATAGAAAATTGCCGGTTCGCCTCTTTCACCTGTCATTTAGGGATTTTCTCCTGGATTCCGAGACATGCAAAAAAACCCCATTGGCCGTGGATGAGAAAACGACCCACTATACGTTGACCATTCAATGCCTTTCTATGTGTCAAAGTCTACGAAAAAACATATGTGGATTGCCGAGTGACGGAGCCCGCCGGATAGAAGTCGATCATCGTATTGTCGATCACTATATTCCTCCTGAACTACATTACTCCTGCCGTTACTGGGTGTACCATTTGGTGAAATGTAACCCCCCCAGGAATCTCATTTATCAAGTTCATCTCTTTCTCAAAGAGTATTTTCTACATTGGGTAGAAGCGATGAGCCTTATAGGCTTTGCATCAGATGTAGTAGGGATGCTCAGTCTCCTGCAAAAGAACATACCAGTATGTCCCGAAGCATTTATACGAAATTTATGCTAACAGAAGAAAAGAGCAATCAACATTCTGAAATATCTGTGTTCTTATATGAGGCAAAACGGTTTATCCTGAAGAATCTTCAGATAGCTGATTATGCGCCACTTCAACTTTATTGCTCTGGACTTATATTTGCACCCAAGAAAGCCATTGTTCGTAGGCAGTTCAAGTCAGAAATTCCTAATTGGATATATCAGTTGCCACAGGTTGAAGAAACCTGGAGTTCAGAACTACAGACCCTCGAGGGCCATTCGAGTTTGGTTAATTCGGTGGCCTTTTCGCCGGATAGCGCGCTGCTGGCGTCTGGCTCTTGTGACAGCACAATACGGCTCTGGGACACAGCCACCGGTATGCTGCAGCAAACGCTTGACGACAATGCTACCTATTTTGTTAAGTCAGTGGCCTTCTCACCTGACGGGCGGCTGCTGGCGTCGGCATCTGATGACAAGAAAGTGCGGCTCTGGGACACAGCCACGGGCACGCTGCAGCAAACGCTTGACGACAATGCTACCTATTTTGTTAAGTCAGTGGCCTTCTCACCTGACGGGCGGCTGCTGGCGTCGGCATCTGATGACAAGAAAGTGCGGCTCTGGGACACAGCCACGGGCACGCTGCAGCAAACGCTTGACGACAATGCTACCTATTTTGTTAAGTCAGTGGCCTTCTCACCTGACGGGCGGCTGCTGGCGTCGGCATCTGATGACAAGAAAGTGCGGCTCTGGGACACAGCCACGGGCACGCTGCAGCAAACGCTTGACGACAATGCTACCTATTCTGTTAACT